TCCATAATAACTGCTTTTGAAAACAAGCTTAAGTAGACTCTATCTACAGTATCTACACGGATTATACAAAAGCTTTCGACATAGTAAATCACCATCTGACCAAATTGGAAAGTTTGGGAGTATCAAGCAGACAACTATTCTGGTTTAGAAGCTACCTGTCAGGACGAACACAGGGTCAGATGTACTGGTTCATTATCTAATACCATCAATGTCCTCTCAGGTGTGCCCCAAGGCTCCCACATTGGTCCAATTTTATTTAATTGGTGTTGCAGAAGCAAGCAATAGCAGTTATTTGGGTTTTGCAAACTATCTTAAATTATTCAGAACAGTGAGAAATATCCACGATGCGGAAATCTTACAAATATATCTCTTAAATCTTACTCGGTGGTGTAGTTCTAATAAGACCAACATCAATTTGAATAAGTGCTACCAGATAAGAATATAAAGTTAAAAACCGTGCCCTCATGAGAACTGATACAGTTAGGGACTTAGGTATAGCTTTTGATACAAAATCAACTTTTAAAAACACATTAGAGAAGTTACTTCTAAAACGTATAAAATATTAGGATACATATTTAGATCCACCAAGCATCTTTCTGTAGAAGTTTTTCGCATGTTATACTGCTCCTTGGTGCGGAGTATTTTGGAGTACAACACAGTGGTATGGTCGCCAAATTTATTTGCTGACATTAACTCCTTTGAAGCAGTGCAGCATACATTTTTAAAACAGGTAGCTATTAAAATGGGTCGGAGTTAGAATGCTTCAGAACTAATGAGTACGTTGAACATCGACTCCTTGAAACGCCGCAGTAACATTTCTGATTTATGTTTTCTATTTAAAGTAATTAATGGTGTCACAAATACATCTCAATGTCAATCAAAGACGAACTCGCAATATGGAGCTGTTTCAGATTCTACATCATTCTACGAATTATGGTATGAATGAACCAGTTACAAGAATTATTAGATCTGGAAACATAGATGTTTTCAACAGCAATATTAGGCACTTCAAAAAGCACGTGAAAAATGTGTCTGTTTAACTTTGGTTTGCTAGGTTTACAACATAAGTAGATTGGGTATCACATGAACCTTTAGTTGAATAATTTATATTAATTTATTATAATCTGTCAGAACGTTGTGTTATTGTATGTAATGGGAAACTGTAAATGATTAAATAAATAAGTAATCTCACTTGACGTTTTTTTAGCTTTAGACTGACTCAACTGGTGAAGTCAAGATTGAATATTTTTACAGAAATTATCGACATGATTTTGTCTCGGAAGATAATTAAAATGAGAACGTTATTATTTTGTTGGAATTTTTACTAAATCGTTTGGACAATATTTCGATTTTTAAATACCTTCTTTCTTACAACACGGGTCGCGACTGCGACCTGTCACCAGAAAAAATAATGGAGATTAGAACGATACTCCAGCACACAAGTCAATTAAAAAAGCAAATAGCAGACATGCCAAAATCGAAAAGAAGTGCCCGACTGTTAACTAAAATTGTTCAAGTAAAATATCCTCAGCTGACCCATGCGATGAAACAAAAAATGTGAACACCTCTACATTACAACTGAACTGGAGTATAATTGTAACAAATACTTGTCGTTTTCCGGTTTGTTCTTCAGATGAGTCAACGATCCGCCAAGACCAACATCATCATATGACGCCCTGGTGAAAATTATTCGTATCACTCCGATTGCATGATTGAGAAAGTAAAACAAAACAATGGTGTGGTAACAGTAGTAAGCGCTAGGTGGGATGGGCGCCTCTACATCGTGGAGAAAACACACGCCCAATGCCGATGATTTTTCGAATATATATATACTTCTTTATACTTATTTGTTCGTTTTTATATGATAAACTTAATATATTCATCAGTTTGTGTACTACTATAATCCATAACTAGCGCTTAAAATACTAAGTATGTTTTTATTTTAAACGAAACTGTCTTAATCGATATCTTAACATTAACCTGAGAATCGCCATTATAAATTGCATTCCTTTGAGAAGATATATTTCTCCCCTAGGTAAATATAGGTAGATATTGATAATGGAATCATCTTGGGTAGATTATGGATATGGACATCCATATGCAGCTTCTTTGGGTGGTTGGGTAGATCATCAATTCTTGAATACCAATAATATTTCTGTTTAGAACGAGTAAATAAAGATCTGTTTTATAACTAAAATTATTGTTGTTGATTGAATTTGTTTATCTCATTATTTTGCCACTTAATATTAATAATGCCTTCAACATCTCACAATTACAGAAAGTCGTTGGCTCTCTCGAGAATCTAAGCACTCCTTACTATCTGTCGAACATGATATAGCCCTATTTTAATAAGAGGATACTTAGGATTCGTAGGACGATAAAGGTAACCAACCTGGAACTGTTGCCTTGGAGCGTGCTGTATGATAGGGTCTTTTGGTTCCAGATGCTGCCGGAAATTTGCCTGACAGAGTATGCTAACGACCTGGAGATGATAGTCGCTAGCGAACGGAAAGGTGCACTACGAAGGCCTTTGGCATACGAAATAATGAGAATTACCATCTGGTTGGAGGAAAATGTGCTGAAATTATCTTCTGAGGAGATAAAACTGGTCATACTTTCTGGCAGACAGGAGCTAATTTCAAAAGCTGTTATGGTTGAGAGCGCCGTGATCAATGCGATCAAGTACCTCGGTGTGCGGCTTGACAAAGATATTAAAATGACAAAATATAAGGCGCACCACTGACAAGGTAAATAAAGTCGTTGCATCCCTCATACGGCTCATAACATTTGATGGAGGCCCCAGTAGTGAGAATCGTGGGATTTTGGCAGGGATAGCTAACTTGATTATGCAGTACGGAGACTTTATCTGTAACAAGACCTTGAGGAAAGGAAGTATAGGCAACTGATGCTCAGAAGCCAGCGAAAAGTGAAGCTGCGCGTGGTCTGCGCTTACAGAGCGTCCACAGACGCATTGTTGGTGGTGGCTGATATCCTGCCAATTGATTTGATGACAGAGGCGAGATACTTACCCTATGGAAACGAGGCCGAAGCTAAGAGCGACGAAGAAAGGTGCTTTTTTTCGGATGGCAGGACAGATGGGATGCAACTGGCCATGGTACATGGACTGGAAGGCTGATTCCAAACATTAAAACTTGGATTGACAAGGGAACGGTGCGGATAGATTACTATACTGCACAGTTCCTCACATTACACTAGTCTTTTGACAGCTACATGAAGAGGGTAGGAAAGAGAGAGTACGCACATTACCAGAAGCAGCTGGACTTGAAGCTTCACGAGATGCTCACTGCAGGCAATCTAGGGCAAATGGGTTCATGTACATCCAATTGTGAGACAAATGATGCTAAGCAAGGTGCAGGATAACAAAAATAGTTCAAGGAATCAACAATAGACCCATAATAAAGTACGCCGGCTACCTATGCCTCACCAATGACTTAACCGAGAGCCATCCGTTAAAAAATCTCATGACAAAAGTTGCCAAGGGAAATTGCTGGGAATTATTTTCAGCTTCCTAAAATTGCCGCTAGGCGGTGTATTTTCAAAAATGCGTAATTAACGTATTTAACAACTCTATTATGATGATTGCCCAATTTTCGAACTGAACTTTTTCTCAATGTCATTTTCCATATGCTCTTTCGTTTAGGGTGGGGGAAGTGTTGAATTTCAGATAAAGTAACGTCCCCTTGGCGGCACCGATTTTCATGACCCGGCTTTCATTCGAAAGAGCTGTCACTGCGCTCTTACTCAAGGCACAATCTTGTCAAATTAATTCATTTTGTGGCCACGAAATAGTGAAAATTTGAAATATATTGGTATACTTTTTTAATAGATATTCCCCAGAAAGAACATAAAAAATCTTACGAAATGCCAAAAACTGCAAACCAATATGTTTATTCGTTATGGAGATATAATGGAAAATATGCTTAAATTCCAATATTCAAGAACCTCTGGATGAAAACATTCAAGCTATGAATGCTTATGTAAAATGTATCAATATGACACGGTTTCAAGATATTTTACTTGGACATTTATCTCTACGCTTTTTATAAACGATAGGGGTAGTAAATGTTGCCTGATATACGAAAAAAAAGTTCGATTATATCTCATGTTTTAGCTCACTTGGCTTTGAAATATGAATAATTGAGGAAATATCAAATGTGTTCCGCTTGTGGTAGTTATATCTTGTAAAAGCGAAAATTACGAATTGTTTTGTATCCATTGTAATATTATATAGCGGTTGTTTCGTTTAAAAGACCGTATTAATAAGGGTTGATTTCACCAAAATGTAGCTTGATCGTTTGTTCAGTCCACAGCTGACTTAGTGTTTGATCTTGATCAGTCTGTTATAAACGCAATCAGGAATACATGGATCAACCTCAGTAATGTCAGTAAATGGCATTGGTGAAATTATATTTATCTTGGTACCGTTGTTGACTTGGATTTTAGGAGCTTGAATTCAGTTCAATGAAGATGTCAAGAGTCCCTATTGTGAAAACATGTACTTAAAAGAATAATATTAATAACGCCCTATTTGACACCGCAGTCTGGAAGAACAATCAGAAAAAAAATATTCCAATTTTCAAGATGGATTAATAATACCAATGGACAGGTAATCCAATTTTTCAGATCCACTTGATCACGCGGTAACATCTCGCGTTAGCATAACAGTTCCCGGTACACCGCGATCCAACCCAAACACACAAAACATATGACAATCGCGGCGGCGGTGGAGCTTCCCCTCCCCCGCCGAGCGTACGTGACGCCTGCGTCTAGCTACCGGCCCCGAAAAACCGCTCTCCACTATTTATGTCCTTCTCGCACTCACCGCAACCTGCATCTAGCTCTCTCACAAGCCCAACCCGCCGCGACCACAAACAAGATGGGTCTCTCTTACACCCCGTATCTGCTCTCTATCAGACTCGCTGGTAACCCTTTATGTTGGCTTCTGTTTTAATCTGTCTCGCTCTCTCGCCAGCGGCTGATAACCACCGAAGGGGTTATCAAACGGCTCTGAGACATTGGCTGGTCCACGTGTGGCTGTCAGGTAGACGATCGACACGTGTCGAACGCGTGCGGCGACCCTCCCGCCCCTGATGCGCGCCGCGTTCATAAAAAGTTTTCATTCAGAAAAAGTGTTGACGCGATCGTTGCCGGGCAACCCCTGCCGCGATGCGCGTTTTTTCCGCGGACATGTGCGTGTGGGTGCAACCAGGATCTAGTGTAACGGATCGACGTAATTTGTTTTGTGGCGTGTACTAGTGTACTAGCAATTGATGTGGTTTTATGCCTTACTGCCCTTTGTGACCAGATTAATGAAATCAGATATACTTGAGCAATACTTGCCAATACTGCAATGTTTGGAGGAATATGATATCGCAGGGGTGATAGTCCATTTCTTGTTTGGTCATAGTATACCTTGTATTGAGAATATGCAGTAGCACTAGGTTCCTCAAATCAGACTGAAAAAGCATTAAAGCGCTTTTCTTTTTGTCTAAAAAATAATTTAGCACCTCTGAATAATAATCGATAAGTTCGCTTAGCAAATTCAGTCAAAACTAGAAAGAGCTACTTGATGCCGGCTGAGTAGGATCTGTTTACTCTCCGACTATCTGACCGTATATAACGTTGTTTCATGCTTCTTAGCAATCGGTACGGTATTATGTCTAGTCATTGGAGACAGGCAGTGGAAAGCAAACAAACGAAAATAGGCTTACTTAAAAACCCAGTATGTTAGTGTGCTTCTTGAGGCCCAACTTCCTCACTCTGTTTGAAGCTGGTTTGGAAGACCGTTCTCACGGTGACTGCTTGCTTCATTCACTTAGACCATTTGTAAACATTTGGCGCTACCAAAAGAGTTATTTGGCTTATCCAGTACAATTCTCTAATCATATTTTCAAGTCATCTTGTTATTGACAATTCGTTTACAGCTTGGCGCCTTGCTATGGGTATACCTATCGAACCTGCTTATTAAAGGTTCATTGTGCTGTGGCTGTAATCGCAGACCGCTGTTTTCCATTCAAGCTCGGTCGTTCTGTCTAAGATACTGTAAACGTATGCCTACGTACCAAGAAATACTTACACATTTCCCTAATAACTCTGAAGTGATGAAAACCTACTTTCAAACTGTAAGGGGTTGAAGAAACGCCTATGTCCTTTAGCGTTCATTTTTGGCGTGATTTGACTATATGACGTATTCTGCTATTGAATTCCCTTATGGTTCTTCCACTGAACGATATAGAATTTCAAAACATGCACTTTATCAGTCTCAAACTCAGTTTGGTTAAAAACCAGTTCTTGCAATCTACTGTTCAATTATGCTTGTCATTAACAAGTGTTAAGGGTGGCTCTCTTGGGGTACGAGATATGAAGGGGTGCCACGAGTTCCCCATAATTAATTTGATTTTATCTCAAATCCGGTTCAATTTAGAAACTGGATTGCCTGCCTTGATTAGCAACACAAAAATCAAATGATCACGCGTTGTAAGGATTAATATCTAATTCAATGAATGATACATTAACCTCTCCATTGTAAATCTGGCCAGTCACTTTTTTGCACTTACTACCCATAAAGCAACGATTTCTTTGCTTTACTCATCAACTGCCCATTTTTAAAATTACTATCTGTATGCCGAGGACATCGAAGAGTTGAATTCTGCCTGAAGGTACATAGTCAATTTGATCAGTTTCTAGAGGATGTAATGCAGTTTCTGATCCACAAAAAGATATTTGTGATTTTATATTCCCCCTGGTATATTCCAAACGATGCAATTTGTCGAAAATCTTCAAAGGATAAGGTTGTCTATAGAAACACCCCTTTCACTTGTACCCGACATTTAGGAACATTCTGAATAGGCTGTTTCTCTGTTCTGAACATTACATGTTCAATGCACCTTAATTACAACCTTTTTTCCAAACAGCAATATTACGTTGCTTTGAAGTAGCTCTGATATCATTACCTGGCCATTGAAAGATAATGCTTAAATTTTTGCTTTGCTTATATAGGTGGAGAGATCTTATCAACCTGTAAGCAGAAAGTATATGAAAAATCCAAGAGTTTCCATAATCTGCGGCTACTGATTAACTAGAACCAAACGTGCGAGGTGTCGTTGTAAATATATATAACTAGTAAAACATTAATAACGTAATTCATACGTTTGCTCAGTAAAGCTTCAATAGTTAGTTTAGGATCATGTTCCTACATCCATTTTCTAAAATGATAAGACCACCAATCAGTTCAACATAAGCTAAATGAACTGATTTAAGCCATAAAATTGTTGCCACATCGCACACAAGTGCTACCAACCGCTTCGATGTTTGTGAACATCCGGTGACTTAACCCTTCTATAAATGCATCTTACAAACACGACCACCTCTTCTGGGGGTGGCGGCACTACCGGCACCACCTCCACGACCGAAAGTACCCTCCAAGACACGTACACCAAGATGACGTCAGACATCTTGGCAGAACGAACACTGAACGACTTCCTTAGTGAACATCCAGGTGAACTGATAAGAACGGGAAGTCCCCTATTTGTGTGCACGGTACTACCTCCTCATTGGAGGTCGAACAAAACGCTGCCAGTGGCGTTCAAAGTGGTGGCGCTGGGTGACGTTGGTGATGGTACTGTGGTGACAGTGCGGGCAGGGAATGACGAGAACTATTGTGCAGAATTAAGGAACTGTACGGCGGTGATGAAGAACCAGGTGGCGAAGTTCAATGACCTTAGGTTCGTCGGGAGGAGTGGAAGGGGTAAGTGTGGTGTGTTTTGGTGAAATTTGATTTGCTGAATACGATCTGTTCTTTTCGTCTCTGCGGCTATTAACAACTATTTAGCCTGAATTTAGTTTATCTAACTACGGTGAGATTCAAATTCAGCTGACGTCGTAACGTGTACGAGAGAGAAGCCAGAGAAGCATGCAATATGTGTCAGAAAGAGTGCGCCGATAGCATCCGTGACCTCGGGTTCCTAGGCAATAAGGGGCTTCATTCTCGTATTGCGCGCTTCTCATGCTTCTTTCTCGTACACATTACGACGTCAGTGGTATTTGGTTTTCAGTGTATGGCTTAGTACGTCAATGCTGGCATAATGGTCAGTACCTAACACTCTTTAGAGTGATGATTGGTCGGCTATTGTGGGAGTTCTCCTTAGAAGCGGACACTGTCGTTCAGAGATGTCGAGAAACTGCTAGCGTATGTAGGGAGTATCGCGTTTGGCAGACGATTTGATCTATGTGTTAGATTATTATCTCCAAAATTCCTACTATACTAAATATGCAGTATTAATTATATGTGGACACTCAAAGCCTAGCTAGGCTCTCAACACTCCAAACAGCCTATTAGTGAATAAATAGGCTGGAGCAGCATCAGCCTACTGACTTAGTAGGGGGACCAACATAAGTGTAAGTGACGTAAAACAGACAAAATAGTACTACTTAAAATAGATATCACTCATTGGAGTGATTTCTGCATGTCATTAGTTATAGTAAAAAAGGAGCTCATTCCTTCGGAAAGACAGATTGCTATTATCACAAGAGTTCAATAAAACAAACCCTTTGTCGACCTCGGACGTCAATACTAGAACTGTATTCGAGTACCAAAAGATAAGGGTACCTTAAGACATCGTACGCTACTGCTAGCGTGTAGTCCCTTTGTATCGTCAAGTATTATATCGGCGTACAACGTGTTTGCTACTCTCTTCCTCTTCGGGTATAACAATGATGTATGATTCTAACACTATGAGAGCTATAAAACAAAAAGCAAAATACAGACGAAAATTTAAAAGATTTGCATGTCGCTTAGACTTTTCTGGATTTTCAGCGTTCACGTGCTGCAATCAAGTCAGATAAAAGCAGCTCCTTCGGAAATAACATACCGAAGCATGGATGTTGTAGAGTCGTGTGTTTGTCCAGAATTAGAATATATACAGATCGGATCTGGCTAATGGCACGTAGTGTCCTAGTGGCAAGAAAAAAAGATAAAAGCAGCTTAAATAATTATATTGGCGACGTCCAATAGAAATTTGGTCGTAAACTTATATATATGAAGAACAGTGCAAGAAGAATTCGTGGCACCATCAAATATCAAAATTAGACAAATTCTCAGCCTCAAACAATGGTTAATGCTGTTAGCAGTTCATTCAGCAGTGTTTATCGAGAATCTGTTTTAAGTGGTAACAGCAGTGTCCAAGCAAATGTTGATCAGAAGCTGAAATTCCTTAGGCTATCACAAAATTATTCAAGTCCGGTTGGAATTTAATCATTCTTAGTAAAATACCGTGCAAGAGTGATTGTATATATTATGAACTGAAGCGGAAAATGTGGTATATTTCCAGTGCAGTGGAAAATGACGAAAATCTGTCCACTTAGCTGAAGTTTTTGAAACTGTTTTTTATAACCATCAGTCAAGAATCAAATATCACGGCACGGCTTTATCAGTATTAGGTCCACGCTTACGAATTTAGTTATTTTAACACACTATTCAGGGTGTTTTCAAAGTTGAGTCATTTATTCTAACTGCTTGTGGGACTCGTCAAAAAGAGACGATATACCAAAGATCACCCTATATAAAAGTTGCACAATAAAAGGAAAAGAAAAGAATAACAATGTAAACAGATAAGAATGTAATTACATTGATTTTTTGATATTCTCGGCTACTACCGTGTAAAATCTTAGCGTTTTTAGTTATCGTTTATCTAAATTTGGCAAACTTTTTGTGTTATTGTATGGTTTTCATTACTAGTCTTTGGTTCGATCGGTTGTATCAGACTTTTCATAGTGCGTGTACTTTCATTTGTCTGATTATTTTGTGCGCGCAAAATGGCATAATACTAACATACGGAAAGTAGAAACAAAATGCAGCCGCAGCATGCAGGTTGTATGCGGAAAGGTTTCCTTTCAGAAATCATCCGACCCCACGAATGTTTATACATTTAGTTATTAGACTTCGTGACATAGGATATTTGAAGGAACAACGAGGAGGTCACGCTGGAAGACCTGCTCAACCTGAAATGCTACAAATTGAGGAAGACATTTTAGAAATGAGTACTAGACCCATAACAGCTCAAGCTGAAGTTTCTCATAGCTGTGGAAGACAACACGGCAAGGTTATCCTTATCATTATCAACGGGTACAAGTGTTACAACCTGAAGATCATCCTAGAAGAGTTGCACTTTGCCAGTGGGTTTTAGAACAGTTCGCTAAAATGAAGATTTGACATGTAGTCCACAATTTCTACAATAATCATTTTTGGGGTCGAGGATTCGCCGAGCAAGATTTTGCGATTATCCAAAAAATGGGGACAATTTTGAACAGTTTTTGTAAAAACGCTATCCATTAAACTTGATAATGATTTTTTTAATAATTTTCAATAATGTAAACTGGATATCTCATTATGAAACCCTTATATAGGTGATTTTGAGTATATCAACTTCTCTTGAAGAGTTCTACAAGCTGTTAAAATAAATGCCTCATCTTTGAAAATCAGAAGCCTTAAATAAGAATAGTTATGTAGATGTGATTCATAATGATTTTTCAAAGGCCTTTAACAAAATTGTCTTATTGTGAAAACTAGCTATCATTGGATCTACCCAAAACATCGCTTCAAATCCGAAGCATACTTAACTCCATCTGGTTTTTCCTAGGGATCTAACCTGGGGCCACTATTATGTTTGGTATCTATTAATGGCCTACAAGTAATCAAGGGAGCTCAGGTTTGCGTGGCTCCCACCGGCAAGCACTTATACTGTTATCTCTCATAAACAAGTACTCAACCGTGTGTCACTTTTGGTCCTAGCATTATTTCGTCTATGACAGCAGGTTAGAATGACGTAAAAATATGTAGGAGATCAATAGCGGTACTTTACCAAATAATCTGAGCAACATCTAGTTATAGTGGATACCTTGATACTGAAAAGCTGGATTGTCCACTTTAAATTAGAATATACATCCACCAGTAAATCTTTGTGATTTGTACGTAATCTAGAGCAGGTCTGGCGGTTAGAGTTTCATTACAGTTTGAAGGAATTCAGTCTGACTAACCGGTCACACTTAGTGTGCAATCCAATGCCGCATTCTCAAATACCTGCGTGCAATGTAAATTTCTATCGATTTATGAACAGAATGTGATCATTGAAGCAATATTAGGATTGAGGAACTAACTAACGAAATAACACACTCATGTAGTATGTATAATGCTGTTCATTTTGTCTCTAAAAGTATTCACAGAGTACCCTACTAATTCATGCAACTTAAACTGGATCCTAGTTTAACAAAAACACATGCATTAAACCGAAATTGTGCACCATATATAAACCGCTCTGCCGTCCGTCGGTTGTGTAAATACGAATTTAAAACCGAAATCATTAATTTCGACAAATTTTTATGGGCATTTAGAACCAAATAAAATGGATTGGTCTTTAATAAATATGAATATACAATATTTGTCGAACAATTTATAATTAAACGAACTTACTGTTTGTGTTTTAATGTTCCCAATGTGTATTCGTATATCGTATATACTCAACTCAGAAAAGCTTACCTCGACTGTCCACATAATAGGTGTCCTATTCATGGCTGACGGTTTAGGTTTGCTATATGACGTTTGCCCATTGAACCATTATTTTATATAAGGTAATCGTGGTTCACATAGTCCATTGAAAATAAAAGTGAGAACTTTAAGCCGAAAGCCTGCATAAACTATAACAATCAAGTCTAAATCGTCTCCATTTTAAGCAAGTAAAATCCAGACATGTCTTTATCAGACTAGAAAGTTAACATTAAGCAAGTACTTTTTCAAAAGTATGAATAATCCGACTGCAGTAATTCAGAAGAATTTTTTATGTACACATGGTGTTCTCAAAGTTGGGCCCTTAGAGAGTGTATAGTTTGGGCAACGATAAGCAAGTTTTATATTACTACGTATACCAAAGCTTTGAGATAACCAAGCGAGATACTTTAAACGGACTAGCCCGACCCTGACTCCCTCCCCTCCTCCTCCTCTTTATCGTCCGTGAAAAGGTATGGTGTACTGTGGTTCGAGTACTATGCGAGTCAGTACCCAAATCTTCTGTCGAGTAGTATGCAGGCCAACCTAGTCGATAAGCCACTCGCGTTTGAAAAACCGAAATTGGCACATTCGTAGAACAATATGACAATAACATAGTTATTGAATTGATATAGTATTATACTGTGTTCGTCTTCAAGATTCTATTGTTACTTCGCGGGTGTATTTAGAACGCCGCCATCGATATTTACATCAGAGCCGCGTAGATTTGTTTATATATTTCAAAAGCCGTCTGGGTAGACACAGTAGAAGACATAGATAGCCCCAAATGGTGCAATCTTAGAAAGAAGTAAACAAACTGGTGTCTTTCAAGAACTTTTTGCAAACAACACATCTGACTGCAGTACTTGAAGTTTGTTACTAAATGAATACTGAGTATTTTCCTTCAATTTCTTTGTGGGTACCACGGGCATACATGCTGGGGAAGGTCACACGTACTCTAGCCAGGGAAATCATGTACATGCATACGCTCTGGCTTCGCCTTAGATATCCTCCGGGTGGTACTTTTCACACGTTTCATAGTTCGAGACCATCTACCATCTACAGACGATCACAACATCCATAGCTAAGAGAAGAACTATTTTGGACGGGATTTGAACCCGCGCAGCCCACGGCGACTGCCTAAGCTATCTAGTAAGAGGTGGAGGCAATTCCGACCTTCAGCACACCTAGCGGGCATATTTGCAGAA